CTCCTGCCTCAGCCTCCTGAGTAGCTGGGAGTACAGGCACGCGCCACCATGCCCAGCTGATTTTTTGTAGTTTTAGTAGAGACGGGGTTTCACCATGTTGACCAGGATGGCCTTGATCTCTTGACCTCGTGATCCACCCGCCTCGGCCTCCCAAAGTGCTGGGATTATAGGCTTGAGCCACCGCGCCCGGCCCAGAGCTATAATCTTAACTCTAAGGTTTTGTGTATTGTATGGTATGGAATTATTCACACTTACAAAGTACATTAATATAACAAAGAACTAATCATATGATATCCCAATTGCAGGACAAGTATTTATGCTGGTTAAATTCAATTGGGCAGATCTCTGCAATGAACTCTTAGCTGAATATAGTTATGTGCTCAGCCAAGATTTCTATGCAAATCTGTATTGTGGCCTGAGGAGTATGAGGTTAGCCACATTACAAGCAGTACCCTAGTTATGAGAACTGGCGTTCTCCTTGTCATGTTGCTAACCACACATTCAAAGGAATATCACAGACAGTAAGCGGGGGAGCCAGGACTTGGCTGAGCTGATGCATCCCACAAGAGATAGGCGTAGAGGTTTGGTTGAGTGAATTTTCAATGTTACAATAACCTTGTAACAACAAGGTCCTTGAAACAAGTACCCTCAATCTCAAGCAAGCTACTCTGTGTCCCACAGTTATTGTAACACTAGGAATCACCCACTCTGTTCTCTGAAGAATTCAAGATGGAAAACTGGAGGTCTTATATGGGTAAAATCAACACAGCCAGGTATACAGCAGGTCACAATATGGCAGCATTTATTCTGAGAAGGAGGTTCATAGGCTTCACCAGGCTGCTGAATGGATCCAAGGCACCTGAAGCTTAAAAGTGCCTGGCAGTATAGAAGAGAGCATTTTACATACAGGAGCCAGCTTGAACACCAAGCGATAACCATTACCAATGATAACCTTTCCTCCTCAGAGAAGTTATGATCCAGGAAATAATCCGACATCACCACCAAAATACAACTACCCTGTGTACAGTTGTCATGATCAGTGTTCAAAAGCCAGTGACCAATATGGGGCTCTAATTAACTGATGTCACCCACTGTAAAACAGTTAAAACAAAAATGTCCATCTAATCTATTCAAATCAGTCAGGGCTTACACTGTTATCCACATGAAACAAGTAAATGTTCTGAATTGAAGCACTCCTAATAGATAGTCTGCTGTGCTAGCTTCTTTCTGGGAGAGTGAAGCATATTACCTCCTATGTAAATAGAAATGGAAGAAAACAGAGACAATTTGTCTTCATCTCTATCCCAAATGGTGCAAGATAACAGAGTATAGCTAAATCAAAATGGAAAGTAACCCAAAGGAAATTCACATTTTACTAGGGAATGCACTTTAATACTGTAGTAACTGTGAATGTGTCTGACATTCTTAGATTTCAGACATATTAGATTTACACACACACACACACACACACACACACAGACACACACACAGATACAGACACACAAGACCCATTTTCAGAAGGAATCAAAAAAATAATGATTTTCCTTTGTCACCTTTCCTCAATAACGTTTCTTGACTCATACTTTAAGATCAAATTAAGTAGTTACATACAAAATCTGAGCCCCTCAATAATACATTTAGATTATGAAGTTAGAGACCCAAATAACAAAGACAAGCACAAATTGGCCAATGTACAAGTGTTTGGTATTCAAAATAGTACATTTTCTGATACTGTCTGTTTAAACTGGGAACAACCTGAGAAACTGTATTCCAACTCAAAACACAGTCTTTTTAAAAATCAAAATTAAATCAGAAATACTCAGTGCCATTCTGAGAGGTTGAAAGGGCCAAGTGTGTTTATCCATACTGTTCCACTTAGCAGTCCTGTGTGCCTTTTAAGCTTTTGTGGAAACTAGACCAGTATTTTATAACATCAGATTAACGTTCTAAGTTTCCGTGTTTTAGCAATTAGGCTTGCATAAGCTAAAAGTAAGTTAAATCTTTAAAAATTTAATAATTCTTTTTCAGTGATTATTTTATTAGCATTTCATGAATGCTTTCATATGCTTTGTCACCAAAAAATACAGCTTTATTTAAAACTAAAGTATGCATTTATAAATATTACTTTAAAAATCTTTCTCAGAATGCTGTGATAAAGGTCAGTTAGAGGAGGTGGCCAGTATTTTGTATAATTTTAATGTGTGTTACTGTGTGTTTAATGAGTGTTCTGAAAGTCAGAGAATAGGCCAAGTGTGAAATGTTAAAGTAACAATGTCACATTGACATAGATTATATACCATGAGAAGGTATGTATAAATTACATACATTTTTTCTACATTTCAATTACTTTCTTAAAAATAGGTAGTACTAGCCAATCATTAAATTAATGGAAGGAAGCACAATGAACAATATGCTGCTAATGGATACAATACCAGTATAAATTTTATAATTAACAATTTAATAATATTTTTTGATTCTCTGGAAAAAAATCAGCATATTTCAAAATGGTTTAAAGCTACTACCTCAAAATATGACTTCATTTTAAGATGATCATAAACCCAGAAAATATATAATTGAAAATAGTTTTTATTTTCATTAACAGGTTGTGGGTAGTTTCTTTTAGTAGATAAGCTATTATCACATTTCTTAACATTAAAAAATAGTATAGTTGAAATTTAGAGCACAAATCATTCTTTCTGACCTCCAATTTATTTCATATTTCGTGTTTGAGAATTCTAATGTTGCTATATAGTAAATAACAGCAGACAGATGATTTAAATATGCATATTTGAAGAAAATATTATAGTAATTAAAAAATCACAAAGGAACACACCAAGTCATTTTTTTTTCTAAGGTTTAATTTTAACTAATGAATTTTAAATGATGAATGTAAAGTCAATCCAAGTCTTTGCTTATTTGCAATGCACAAATTATTTTTTGTAACTTGCTGGTAAAATACATTCTTTTCACATAGTAACATATTGACCCTTATTTATGGTCTATTATTATTTTTCTTGAGTCCTTTTCCTTCAATATCTTAATAAGTCACTTCTGGTTTGACTAAAGAGCAATCCTAGCACAATAATGTTTCAACTTGCAAGGAAGAACACCCTTATTGAGTTGATAGAACTCTACCAGCTGGATTAGGTCTGTAAATCTTGTGTGGCCATCATCCAGTGTGTGGAACATTTCACCATCATCTTCTACCTGCAGAAGGAAAAGCAACAAATTAGTAAAGAGGGTAAATTACCCAGAAGGAAAATCATATTCCATTGCAAACGATCTCCATATGTCAAAATTGCCAAGTTTATAAAACTGAAAGACAGTGAAAAGAATGTTATGACGTATCTGTTTTTTGTAACATCACTTGTATTTAAAAGAAATATCATCTGATCTCTAGATAAGCTTTGCTACTCTACTTCATCTAGTTCTAATTCTCCCAACATTCTGTTAGTTAAGACAGTATTACTATTTTGAATCAATGTAAGAAATCTACAATGTTCAGAGTAAAAGTAAGTAGAATATTTTCATGCTCCTACTTAGAGAAATTAATTTCTTTTTCTAAATGTTGTCATTTAGCCACAAAAATGAATATATACATAACTTTACCAGTAGATTTATTCTGAATCAATCACATATTATGCTAATCGAATGTCATTTTGTCAGTTGTCTGTTTTTTTAATCAGTGAAGTCTTCCGGCACGAAACAATTCATACTTGCTGGGGACACTGATCACAAAATCAGAGAAGTAAGGAGGATACTTTAAATAGCCTTTGGATTATTCCAAAAAGAGGCAATTCAAAAGGACATACTAGTAATTTAGCAATATTACATAATACCTTTCCAAAACCACTGAATCTTCATTCCACACCATTCAGTTCCAATATACCATACATATCACATACATACACACATGCACACCCACACAGACACACTGCAACAGAGGCAACAGGAATCCCAAAGCAAGTTGTGCCACAGAGAAGCCAAGTCACAGGACTTTAAAAAACGTGTTCAGAATGCTTTAAATCTTCACCAGTTCCATAGCATCTCTGTTTCTAGCCATAGTCATTAAAAACAAAACAAAAGAAAAGAAAAAAATTTCTTTGAGAGAAGAGAGGAGAAAGGGCTTTAAAATAATGTTTCCTAAAGAGCCGTTAGTAGAATTCAGGAGAAAGAAGCTTTAGTGGCCTTTTAACAATAGGTGGCATGGGGTCTATACAATATTGCTAAATCATATTTCATAGAAAAAGGAAAATTTAATTTTTACAATTCCTGTATTTCTTATATTAATTCAGGCTCATAAAATCATTTCTGCCAAAGTTAACTCTAGTCAAAGCACAAGCTCCCAAATTATATTTAATAAAAGGAGCAAAAGAAAACCAAAGTTTCCAAAAGCTTATGCATTAAGATCATTTCTAATATACAAATGTGAAATCACGAATTACTTACTGGTATAATTTGAAAGTGCTTTATTTTTTGTCCATGACTCATTGACAGTACAAAAGTTTTCGGGTTACTCTGACTATCCCGTACCAAGAAAACTCTAAAGAGAAAGAAGGAATTTCAATATGTTTCTATATTTACTCTTGGATTTCATAGAATTAGAGTATTAACAAACTCAAGAACTGTATGCATAAATGTAGCCAGGGACTCCTTTACTATGTATTCAATGGGTGGGATTATCCAACTTGGCAATCAATATGGTACAACATAATCTGTACTATAAAGCTGTCATCAGTGCTGATGTAATTTTAATAGGTTAAATTCACAACCCATTTGACAGATTGTTTGATCACAGTAAACAATGCACTGTTATGTCGGCTTCAACAATTAGTGCTATGTTCTCTTTGCATTGGGAAATTGGGTATTCACATGTAACTATTTTGTCCAATGATTAAGGCATTTGCATATTATTATTTTACCATCTGGGTCATGTTAGGCCCTGAAAGAAGACAAGAATTTAGAATAATTTGTTTTCTCTTTGAGACAGGGTTTTGGTCTGTTGCCCAGGCTGGAGTGCAGTGGTGCCATCTCAGCTCACTGCAACCTCACCTCTTGGGTTCAAGCAATTCTCCCACCTCAGCCTACCAGGTAGTTGGGACTACAGGCATGTGCCACCATATCCAGCTAATTTTTGCATTTTTAGTAGAGATGGGTTTTACTATGTTGGCCAGGCTGGTTTCAAACTCCAGACCTCAAGTGATCTGCCTGCCTCAGCCTCCCAGAGTGCTGGTATTATAGGCATGAGCTACTATACCTGGCCTGAAATTTGATTTTATTATAACCTCCCCTTCTATACTGGATGCCCTTTCTTTTAATTCTCGTTTCAATTGCTACATAAACAATAGCAAGAAATAAATGAATATATTCTTCTAAAAAATCTTGAAATCATTTATTAAATGTGTAAGCAAATGCTTTAAGTAAAAGAAACATCCAAACACCACATACTTTAATCTTGAAGAATGCAGCAGAAAAGCTTCTATAATGTCAGGCTAGAAAAACAAGACATGGCCTCTAATAGCCTAAGAGAAAAATGCTGCCAGAAGTGGATTCTTATTTACTGGCAGTGCAGTGCAAAACCAGTTTTGTATTAATTGTTGGCAAACACACTGTGTAAATGATCCCCACTGGTGAATCCAATATGAATCTCACTGTGCCTGGGCAAAGAGGCAGCCAAATTTAAAGCATCACAGATGTCTGACGAGGTTATCCATTTCATTTTCGCTGTGTGAGATTCCGACATTACATCACTGGGAAATGGGACAAAAGGGCGTTTCACTGGTAAATCAAGCTGCAAGGCTCTCCCCATTCCTAAGTAGATCAGCACTGCCACCTAGTGGATCGCCTGGCACCATCACATCTTTCCAAAAGAATACCAAAAATACTAAAAATAAGATATTTCATTTTTTATACAATCATTTCATTCACTTTATAAAAACTCAGTCAGAAATAAAGAAAACTATAATTCTTTAAGACATTTTAATGATTCTTTGAGATTCATTTATTTTCTTGCTTTCATCAAATTGTAATTCTACTGATGTTCAAATTTATATCCAAAAAGACTGCACTTCATGCAAAGAAGCATATTAAAATATCTTATTTACAATCTGGGGAAATGCTGACTCACTATTAATAATCTTCCATGTGAAGATGCATTTTTATCCAAATGTCAGTATTAAATCACCTTGAAGTCTTGTCATCAGCGTAAGCCAACTTTTGAAGATAAAAGATCCCATCACCACTTGTTTAAATTGCTAGTGATTTCACTTCTCATCTAAACCACAATACAACCTCCTTCATTTGTACTGCACTTGAGAAGGGAATTTAGCCAGTATTATAGAATGTATCTGAAACACTGAGTAATTTGAGAAAAATAAAATTCTTCACACTATAAATCTTTCATATTTTATATTTCTCTTTTGTTACCATGGTACCCCACTAAAAGACAACATGAGAAGCAGTTGAAAAGTCCTCTTTTCATAGGTTTATATTACTTTAAAATGTTAAAATTTGGAGAAAAGACAATAGGGATGTAAGTAGAAAAAATAATAAGTGTTCAAAACACATACGAAACAGGTTTTTACTTAATACACATTGCATCATACCTTAAAAAATACAACATGTGACATAATGTCATAATATAAACCATACTTTGAATTAATAATAATTATATGTTCAAATAAAAATATTGACACTTAAAAACAAGTTCATTTTTCCCCCATCAATTGATATCTGAGATGCTATAATCAGCAATCATGAGTAATATTAGTGATCACTGGTTAAGAACAAGATCTTCTGTTCTGTTATTTGTTCATTTATATACAAAGACCAGGCACATACTATGTACCAGGTATTATATAGATACTGTTAGAATACAATGACAACCTCACATATAGGACAAAGTCACTTCTGTTTTATGATAAGCCCAAATCAAGAACACTTTGTGAGTATGGAATAAATAATTACTACTTATAGGAGAAATCCAAATCACAAGTACTCAAAATTAAAAATACCAAACTTACCCATCCACAAGTCCTTGCTGAATAATCAATCGCTGAGCCTCATCTCTAGAAATTTTGTGGTGAAACCATGGCTGGGACCGGTGAATAGCTAAAGAAATAAGATGGAGATGATAGCAATTTCATTGCATGTCCTTTCCATGTCTATCTGTCTACTCAGTGGCAGTGACTATGAACAGACATACCCATGTTTGTGGCAGAGCTCTGTGAAGAGGCAGTGGGGCTACCGTGAGAGCCCAGACGTAAACATCCCTTTTTCTGAGCAAGGAAGGAGAAAACAAATCTCAAGTTTTTAGGTGGAACAAACTGAAGTCATAAATATTTTGAAGAATGTGAAGCTATTTCTACCCTCCAAGCGAGTCCTTCTTCAACTGCAACTGAAAGGGCTTCAGTGGGATTTTCTATAACTCTGCTTTTCTGGCCTGAGAAGTCCATTGCTACCAGGGAATTATCTGATATACTTCTCTGGAAAACAAACAAACAAAACAACCACACACACACACACACACACACACACACACACACACAAAAATATTTGAGCCATGAAAATATTCTTTGAAAGTTATCTTTCAGTGTTTTTCTGGCAGTACCTTTCCATTCTAGAAGGTGGTACCCACAGTGGCTAGCAGAAAATTTAAAGTGAAAATACATATTCAAGATACAATGGTGCTATAAAATATTTTTGCTAAATAAGATAAATAGTAATTTGTTAAGGTAACTGAAGAGTTGAGTAAACAGATTAAAAGCTTTTAAAGTATGTCTTTCTTCTAAAACAAACTTATCTTTTCATATTCTCTAGTATAATGGGAAAACTTCCATTTAGAAAGAAATAGCCTTTCCTATGGTTAAAAAGATACATTGTTTCTGAATTCATCTCTCCATTAAGCTTTGAGATCTATCAGTCATCAATTAACTGTCAAATCCATCTACTTATGAAGCAACTATTTTTTAAGATTCAAGATACACAAAAGCCATAACTAAGATTGACATACATCTCTTTATAAATACTACTCATTTTTAATGAGTTTTATAACGGACCTATCTAGAATATATATTTTAAAAGTTTATCACATCGACCTTCATCTCACATAGAAAATAAAATTTAGTGAAAGAATAATGCAGAGAACCCCATAATCTTAAAATTTCCCTGATTTAATATATGAACACATTTTCATCTTGTGAGAATACACATGGCCACATAAAGGCTGCAAAAATCAGGCTGAATAAGAACTGATAGAAGGCAACTTTAAACAGACTTAATTTAAACAAGTAATAAAGTCATTGTTTTTGCTAATTACTATTTGTTATTTATATTCTTTAAGTTGAAAGTAAAATATTCAAAACTTGGATAGTATTTTTCTTTTCTGTTTTCTTGGGACTCTACTTTACAACCATCTCTTAACAAGTATGCCATCCCACAACAAGTTATGATTCCTAAGAAAGACCATTACCAAAATCTCTAGTCAACAGTCCCACTCAGTTCATACAACATGAAGAAGGAATTAAAATTCTCCAAAATAAACAAAATAAAAACACCCATGGAAAATAACAGTTATTTTCTACTAATTAATAGAAGAGCAAAACTCAAAGTGGAGTTCCAATAGTAAACTGCTAGTCAGACTGCATCTGGGTCCCCCTGGCTTCAAAGCATTTTATCTCTCTCTATGTGGACTCAGCTATACCTGGCTTGGTTGCACAGACTATAGTCAAATGTGGGCTTCTAACAGAACCTCATCCACAAAAGAAAGTTGGGGTCCTTTATCATTGCGTCACATATCCCACTTTATTAGCATTTGCAATTTTTCTCTTCAAACTATGCTGTGGTGGCCTACAATCTTATTATGGTTCATCTATATTTCTAGAGATCTGGCATGCAATATTGCATTCATTAGAGGAGCCTTTACAACTGACAGCTGCTCTTTCCACACAGATGCTGTCTCTGTAATCTGTATTTTCTGTCACACCTTTGTTTGCCCTTCTCACCCCATGATCTTCTGTGCAGGGCTGTAGGCCAGTTGGATATACTTATGCTTTGCTGACCTTAATGGAAAGCATCCACCTGCCCAGACCACAGAGTAAGTAGCTTCAATGATAATAGCTTTATTCTTGCACTATCTCTCCCTTTACATGCCAAGGTAAGTTCTGTAATCTCAACTCCCTGGCAACATAAAAATGCTATTACTTAAGAAAAAAAAACAAAACAAAACAAAAACATAATCAGTTGTCCTATATTTCTCCCTCTAATATAACAGGCCAGGAAGTAAAACAAGATCCTGTGTTCCCTATTTACTTGACATGCATAGAAGATGACACTACAAATAAGGAACGTTTTCATTTGCCACATTAACTAGGCTATGGGAAAACACAGGACTATAGCAAATGTTTTCTACTGAATGGCAGGGGGTAGATGAAAAATTAATAGTCTACCATTGGTGGACAAAGAAATGGAGGTAAAGCAGAGTCTGACATACTCAAAAGGTCATTTTCAGCTCAATTTCTTTCACATAGAAAAGCAATGTTGATAACAATCAGAATTGGTTATATTTCTCCAACACTTGTCCCCTTTTCTAGCTCTTTCTTCTTAGGAGATGAACAGAGAAAACCCTAAAAAATGGGTCCATGATTTTAATGGCATTACTTTCTTTTTTATGAAAAAAATAGGCCTGGGTGTATCTTGGATTATCCAGCCCACACTTTGACATCACATCTACTCATTCTTAGTGAGGTTGCGCATAAAATGGTTTTTCAGGCTGTTTGGCTACGTGACAGCCAGTATCATCCCATTTGAAGGATCCAGGTAAACTTACAGTGTCACCATTAGCAAGACAGCACAGAATTTCTTCAGATATTATTCTCTCATTTGCTTTATACAGAGCTACAGAACATCAGAAATGTAATGGTCTCTAGGGATTATACAACCATCTCCCTCATTTTACACTGCAGGATACCAGTGACTTGACCAAAGTCATAGAGGCATCGTATGAGAAAAGCAGTAACAGATATGTCTGGTGTAGGGTTCTTTCGTGTTCCATAGTGTGGGAGATACAGCGAAGAAACTGCAGTTTAGAGTGTCTATTCTCCGGTCAAAAGTGAAGAACAAAAAGAGCTTGAGTAGACTCCCCTTCCCCAACCCTCTGTCCTCTCACTCCAGCCAGGGCAATGTTAATAAATACTCCTTTAAATCATCCTTTGTTGGCCCTAAAAAGGACCAAATGTATTTGGCTTGCTGAAATGTCTGTTGCTGATTGATTCTCAATTAAAAGGCTAATGGGGTGGCTGTCACATGCTATATATAGCTAAGATGTTCATTGTGGTTTGAGGATGTTTTTTTCTCATTTCCCTTCTCAAAATCTATGCCTGAAAAAGTTAGGAAAAGAAAAAAAAAGTATTTTCCCTTTAAAAATATAACTAAAGTTTTATACTAAAATGTATACTAAAAACTTATGTGTTAATCGCTGAAAATAGTCCCTGGATGAAAAGCAACAAAGGCTGGCAAGGGGTACTGGCATCTTTTAGGTCCCTGATTCTTCCCAAATGATCTGGAAAAGTGAGATTTTGTACAGACACCAAAGACAACACAACTACTTCCCAAAACTTCTAAGTTTCCTTCACGGAAATTCAGAATATTGGAGATGTAATTCTCACATGCTACTGTGTCTGATTATGAGAACTGCCAAGCAAGATAGGTCCTTACCACACAGGCATCTGCATCCTACACCCCCGATTCCCAACCAAACTCACTCAGGGAGTATCTCTTCCTTTACATGACTCTGAACAAGGAAAGCCACGCTAACTAAACTGTCATCCACATTTTGATCAATGGCAGCATCACTTTCAATGGAAAAAGGCAGGAGTAATACCATACACATATGCTGACAGTGATGAGACTAGGAAGAACTTTGTTTATAACCGTTTTTCCTTTGACTAAGAGGACACTAAACAATAATTGCCTCCAAACACTTGGCTGCTATTAACATATTCATCCTAATAACTTTGGACGCTAAAAGAAATTTGGAGGAATATAAGAAAGGATTAATATAATAAAAGTAATTATTCTTTTTATAGACATATGGATTGAAAGATAAGGGTAAGCTGACAAACTGTAAAAATATTCACCTTAACATGATTATTTTTATAAAACTTCACTGTGTTCCTTAGTTTCTTATTTTGAGGTTTAAGAATAATATGATACAAAGATGAAAAGTTATTCTTCCATAACTTAAAGTGATGTAACTACAAAATAGGATTTATTTTTCTATCTAGTCTATCAGACTTCATAATCAACATTATTTCATGCTTCATTCCTAGAACTGAGCATTTCATCTACTACATTACATGAGGGGTAAATGCACCTTCCCTGGTCACATCCATGAAGGGCACATTTTTAACCTAAGTGAAAATGTAGATTTTAAAAAAATGCACATTAACTGATTTGTAACACATGTGCATACATCTGAATTCCTAATATACTCAATCTTAAGGAGTGCAGCAAAAATAGCAGAACATAAACCTTAAGTTCACAAATACATTTCTTATGTTAATGCACACGAAATTAAAATTAGATCCTAAAGAAGGAAAAAGATGTGTCTGTGTGTGTCTGCAAATAAATATCCAAGTTACATTTAGTATAAGTCTGAAAAGCAGTGCCAGAGTTAATGTAACACACGACCTATATTTTGGCTTGCAGTTTTTGGGTTTCCTGGAAAGCAGTCTGCTTTTAAAGGACCTGGAACGTAAAAAATTATTGTTAGAAAGCCAGAATGCAAAAGAGCTCACATGTGTATACTGTAGTTTTTAAAATACCAAATCATTGCTGTCTTTATACTAGAATGTGACAATCCTAGAATCAGTATTAAAATTAAAAAATGAAATGACAATGAAAAGCAGTAATTAACAAAACATAATCTACAATGCCAAGGAATATGTCCCATAAATTATATTTTTAAGATCTAGTCTTCAAATGTTGTAATGACACAGAAAGACATATAATTCTTTCAAATATTTAAAACTTTAACACACACTATTATGTATTTTATTAAATACGTGACACTGAGATGATTTTATCACATAGGTTGAAAGCAAAGAAATCCAAGAATAAAACATTCAGTGTAACATTATACTAGAATGGTGCCAAAGAGTTACTTTACTTAACCAACAGAAAATAATACGAATTATTCTAAGATACTGTTACATAGTGCTATTTAAATTAATGTAATGTTAATGCAAAGTAAAATATAGGCTCAAAAATTTGGTGCTTACCATAGGTGATACACTCTGTGAACTGCAGCCACTTCTACCTTGATATGGATGCATATAGTTCTGGTACAGCTGCATGCCATACTGCAGAATAAATAAAACACATTCCCACCACTTTTACTACTCTTATATTTTATGAAAATCAACACTTTCATCAATTATACAATATAAATGTAAAAAGAATTAAAGCAAACACGTGAGGCAAACAAAAATTTGAAAGATAAACTTTTAGTGCCCCACAATAATAAATTTAAAAAGACAACTGAAATCTTTCACTTGGACCTACAACTTAAGGTCCAGCTCACCAGTACAAAGGTCTGGAACTGACATTTCTACTCAGTATTCTTAGCACCAAATTATACCACAACTCTCTGGAGTGGTCCACTGCCTCATGATAAAAAAGCTCACTTGGAAAGGGTGATGTGCTTTCTGGTACAAAGATTCCAAAAACGTCACACACATCCTAAGCAACACTGTGCAAAATTTATTATAACTTTCAGATGAATGACTAATGATTTACTTTCCCTCTTTGGTAAATCCATAAGGATGGCCCTATGTTGAAAATTATTGACAATATAGCATCCTCATATAAAAACTCTTATGCCATTGGTTAATTTTTTACTTCAAATTCAGGGAAACCAAAATAGTGGGAAATCAAGCTGATTTCAAATAAAAGGTTTCAAGGTAAAATATAAGTGGTAGAAGATAAGAATTTCACGGTCTTCACTTTAAGGAGGCAGCATCATACAGATTAGGCTGGCAGGACAGAATTGGAAAACAGGTCTGGATTATAACTGGATTATTAGTATAAAAAAACAGTAAGAATGCCAACTGCCAAGACCAAACTTGTCCTGGAGGTTTCTATATCGGAATTTGGAAGCTAACCCCTTTAGGTTTAAGCCACTTGTTAAAAAGAAAAGAAAAGAAAACAATGGAATAAGCCAGCCCCCTTTCCCCTATATTCTGCAATTCTGTCCATTTCATATAGCCATAATGAACTTAAATGTCAGGTTCTATATAAAAGAGATGAAATAGACACCATGGAATCAAATCTTACCTGAAGGATACATTCCATTTAAACATTCCAACAGAGCTGTTTTTCTACTAAAGACTATTTCCTTAAAAGTAATTCTAGCAAAATGGATATGTTTGGTAATTAGGCAAAAAAAAAAAAAATCAGAGGGGGTCTAGAGGAGTCACTGTTTTCAAGATTTTGCTTTTAACATGAATACAGACCCACACTCATTTAAAATTCTCTGTGTTGACTTCTTTATCCAATTATTTCCCAACTTCTAAAAATTATTTCTTAATTTAAGGTTTGATTGACATTAATGGGACCTAATGAAATTTATTTCAAATCAACTCTCACCCTACAATAGCTTTAAAAAGAAGGCAGAGGAGCTTAATTCCTAGTCAAATTCATTTTGGAGAATATATAATAACCTCAAACCAACACTTTTACAAGAAACACGCTGCTTGGCCACCTTTTATTTATCTACATTGAAAAGCCTACTAATAAATCTGTTATCTTCAAAGATGTATTGTCCCTGGTACCTGCAGTGTGAGGTAGTTGCCTCTGTGCTGCTGGAGGTCTTTAGTAGGCATTTAACTCTGGACAAGGGGTGGGGCGGGGGTCACCTTAACATTTCCCCATCCTATGGAGGGGCAGATAAGGGACCAAAATATGTTAGAGAGGACCTAGCAGAGATCTAATTGAAGGGAAGGAAAAGAGGCAGCATGCAACTAGGACATTACACATGAGAAAATCTACCATTTTCTAATTCTCAGATACTCTACAATTCTATATGTAATTAGAATTTCTCCAAAGAGAAAAAGAGAATCTCCATCTGATCCATAAGAAGAGTTTACATATATATAAAAGGACATAAAAATGAAACAAGTGGCCAAATTATTGGTGGAAGGCTGTATCTAACAAGTGGCATGTGATGAAAAAAGAGGGCACTCCAAGTTTGTCAAGAAAATATCTCCCTGTTCGTCCCCACTAAGTACAATGATAAACTCTGGAAATAACAAAATAGACAACAAAAGAAAACAAAGTAGGTGTTTGAGACACTTCTACCATCAGCTGAGCCCAGCTGCACCAGCCAGGAGATCCAACAGGAGAAGCCCTGCTGACAAGAAATTGCCAGCGAAGCCAACTCAGTCCACAATTAAATGCCACAAATGTGTCTGCGTTGTGAGACCTGGAGCAAGTCCTGGCTTCTTGTGATCTCGATATTTTATAATGTAAATAGATCATATCATATCTCTTTCCTCTTTGGGTTCTCATGGGCTCCAGATAAAGGGCCTCACAGATGCCTCCTACCCTCTTCAGCCTCAACTGGAAAAAGCTTTGCCATTATTGAAATGAACAAGGAACACGGATATGGTAGATAGAATAATGGCCCCCAAAGATGTCCACATCCTAATCTTCAAAGCCTATGTTAAGCTACGTGGCAAAAGGGTATTAAGGTTGTCAATCAGCTGATTGTGAGGTGGGGTGATGATCCTGAATTATCCATGTGGGCCCAGTGTAATCACAAGTGGGAGGAGAGACAGAGAGGCAGAACCAAGGAGATGGCAGTGTGAGAAATACTTGGTGTGACAGTGTTGGCTTTGAAGATGTTGAAAGGGCCCCCAGGCAAGACGTCTGGATGGATTTTAAAGGCTGCCAAAAAAATAAGGTAACTGGATTCTCCTCTAGAGCCATCAGTAAGAAATGCAGCTCTGCTAACACCTTGATTTAATCCAGTAGGATTCATTTCAGGCTTCTGAACTAAAGAACAATAAATTTAAATGTTGTTTTAAGTCACAACCCTGGTGATAATTTGTTACAGCAGTCATAGGAAACCAACACAATTAAGAATCTTTGAACTGGAAATCTGTGACTTGAAAGATGCCTTAAGAACAGTAAGATGAGAAAAAAGTAGTGAGAAGGGGACATTCTTTCAAAAACTAAGCATCATGGAAATGAAAGGATTAAAGAAAGTTGTTAGTGTATTTCACCCATTTTTAGATGTGCATTTCAAAATTTAATATCTATAAACTCAATTGCATCCTATTCTCTGTAACATCTTATATTCACTATGGACCTAGTGATTTGTCATTGCCTAAAACCTTTGGTGGGATTAAGAAATCACCAGCATCAAATCTTCCAGAAGCAGTATCAGTGGCTAGAATCCCAGTTCCATGCCACATCCTGTGGAAAATATAAGTGTCTGTGACTCTGAGATGAAAATGATTCAGAAAAGCCAGGGTTAGAATATGAAGAAGTTTTAAAGATACTTCAATTAATGTATTCTACTTATATATTTTATTTTATATATATGTGTGTATATACTTAATGCATATATGTGTATGTGTAAAATATATTTATGGCTGCATGTATAGATGTATGCGTGCAAACAAAAGTGATTACATTATTAAAATATAGGTTTAAATAAACCTAATTATTTGAATAAATAAAACAAAAACTATAAGTGATATGAAAGCATCATGTTATTTTATTGACATCATTTTTTTTTTTCTTTCTAGCTCTAATAAAAATAAGAATGTATCCTGGTAAAAACCAATGGCTTCTTAGATTAAGTGAAATGCTGATTAAAGGAAGTGGGCTTACCATCTGCTTCTGGGTTGGGTGTCAAACTTTAAGCCCGAGGTAGAAGGGATGAAGATGGGTTAACAAGGTTGAAGAACATCCCCTTTACAGCCTAACCTGATCCAGTCTTGGAAAACAGAGAAAACCAAAAACCACAAGATATTTATTTTCTCTACCAAAACTTTTGATGGAGTAGAGCCTTCCAAAGAGTACCAGCCTTTTTATCTGTAAAATTGGAGGGCTATACAAAGTTAGTAGTTCTTATTCAGACAGACACGTGGGACTCTAAATCAGAATCCCTAAGGATGGGGTGGGAACCACATGCAAATAGGGAAAGCTTTTCAGGCGATTTTAACAGCAGAATATTTGAGAAACAAACAAGCCTCTCATAAAGAAGTAAACATGGTGGCTATCTGCCAAACAGCAAAAGAATGTAAATTTCACAGTTAAACAAAAAGTGTCATTTAAATCATTTTTTAAAAACTTTTTCCAATATCACTTTATAACTGCTAGAATGACCATTATTAAGAACAAGAACAAAAAAAAGTAATAATAAGTGTTGACAAGTATATGAAGAAATTGGAACTCTCATACATTACTTGTGGAAATGGAAAATGGTTCAGCCACTGTGGAAAACATTTTGGCAATATCTCAAAAAATTAAACATAGAATTACCATATAACAAGCAATTTCATTACTACATGTATTCCCCCAAAATTGAAAACCTGTACTCGAACAAATACCTATACACATATTCATATCACACTATTCATAATAGCCAAAGGTAGAAACAACCTAAATGTCCATCAATGAAAAAATGGAAAAATTGTTTATCCAACATACAGATAGGTATAGATAGATACACAATGGAATAATAGTACACAGTCATAAAAGGAATAAAGAGCTAATAACGCTTCAATGTTGGTGAACCACAAAGCATTATGCTAAGCAAAAGGCAGAAGCAAAAGGTCACATACTATATGATTCTATTTATATGAAATAGCTACAACAGGTAAATCCACACAGACAGAGGCAAATTGGTGATTGCTAGGGCCTGGGAGTAAGTGCTTTATGGGTGTGGAGTTTGCTTTTAAGGTGATTAAAATGCTTTGGAACCGAATGCACTAAATGCCACTGAATTATTTACATTAACAATAGTTTGATTAATTATATATTTTGTGAATTTTACCTCAGTTAAGAAATTACAAGAATACAAAATAAAACTTTCTTCTAAACCTGCTATGACAATAATTCTGATTATGACTATTCTGTCCTTCTTTACTCTGATCTCTCTTAAGTAGGACGCTAGGAAAATGAAAACAGAGAGCATTAGAGGTAAAAATGGCAAAGGCAGAAGAAAAAAAGCACAACTAGAAAATACGCAAACTGCAAATCTATTGAAAAATTTACTGTATCCCCTTCTTCAGGGTAAATGAAATGGAGGAACCTAAAGACTTCACAATGCTCCAACTGTTCTGATTTTCATTTCTAACTATATCGAAAAGCTAGTTTTGGTCACACATTGTTAATAATCTAAATCTTCCTGTGGTAAGAAAAGGAATATATATATATATATATATATACACAAAATAAACATATAATATGCATAACCTAGGCATAAATTATAAAGAGTATCTTAGAATATGTTAATGCTTCTTTTTTAAATCAAAATTTTAATAGTAACAATAAATTCTGTATTTTGTCGGCTTCAGCAGCAGTGATACTAACTAATGTGGATAGGCACATTTGGATTGTATCTTTTCAACAACAACAAACATTTTTGAATTTCTTCCCTAATTGTATCTACCAAACCAGTATCTTTGAAAAGAAATCATTGATAATTGTTATAAATATGAATTTTAAGTTTTGCTCCATTTACTGGCAAACAGTTTTCAAAAATAAATGTGTGTTCTATACATTCTGGAAGAAATCAGTTCTGCTTTTATATCCTATGTGGATCTACTTTTACAATATTGTTACTTATTATAAAATTGTTCAGCAGCAACAAATTATGCTTACGGAAGTTGTAACTTCTACTTAGCACAAGAGTAGTTGTTTAAAAAATATATTCAAGTAAAATTGTATAATAATTTGAGTCATGCTTATTAAACTAGAAAGCAATTTATATAACACAAATAGAACACAAAACAGTTACATTAAACATCTCAAGGGTGGGCACATCTTAAAATACACTTTACCTTGGATCACAGGCAATGTTTTAAGAATGCAGACTAAGTCATGTATAGGAGATATTTCATTCAGTTATACTGGCTATGTAATACCTTCACAAAATAAAAATCAGAACATTTCTAGAAATGGAATACTTACTCCACATACAAAAAAGAAATATATTAGGTTATTCCACTCTACTCTGAAAATGTTTATCATTTAGAATGTTAAAAACATACATATTTGGTGGTTTTCTTTTTTCTCATGCAGCCACGCAGTGAGACTTCATGTTTTGAAATACTGATATTTTCTAACTTTTTTATAGTACTCACAGCATTTAATAGAAATTCATGCCTCCGGCGAGATTACCTTAAGCAATCTAATCGCGGTCACCCAGCACGTCCTACTCTGCTCTTCTTCTGCACAGAGCATTTTCAGGTCTCGGGGCCCTCCCGCTTTGTTAGGCTAGAAGGCCACAGCACATTGTTTATCGTTAATGCATATCTTGAAGGTAACACCTGTTGAAATAAAAGCCACTAAAATTCTCTTATATATAAGAGAAAGCTGTCTCTTTTTAAAAGAAATTAAAAGAAACTCAAGCTTACCTAAAAGGCTGAGGCTTGCTTTATTCATCTATCAAAATATTAAGCCTGTACCTTAAAGCAGAATCCATAGTTAGTTGGTGCTCCATGTTTTTTTTTGCCTGCCGGTGACACATAAATATCACTATTGCCAAATTCGGTGAAAAACTGCAAATGCCGCGGTTCCTTAAAAAAAGTATTGAAATGGATACATATTTTTGCATTATCTTTTTTGTGTGTTTTAATTATATAATTTATACCTTGGGCAAAAACTTATGCCTAACAGAATTTCAGTATGATGCCACAAAAATAAAAGAAGAAAAACAAATATAAGTTACTATATCTTTAACCAGGAGCTGCATACAATTTTATTTAATTTGGGAAGTGACACTTTTGTTTATAATGTAACTTCCAATAATAAAAATAAATTTCTGTTTTAAACTTCCGTTTCTCTTTAACCAGCATTTCAAGGAATCTGAGAGAGAAAAATATGTTAACAAAGATTGGCTTTGGGAAATGTATTGCTTATCTAGGTTTCAAATAATGGTAGCTCAACAAAAGGGAGAAGGTTGGTTCGAGCTTCCGTAGCAGTTAGAGAAGAAGACAAAGAACAAGACAATGATTCCTGCTTCATTCACACACAATATCCCTCGCATTTGTGTACAGCACAACACACCACAGGAAGCGACAACTGCAGGAATCTCTAACTTTATGAAAAGAAAGGAAGTCTGTACAGATAGAGGAGTTCAGGGAAATTAGCTGGCAGTAGAATGTTTCTGATTTTCAAGGCAAAGTGGAATCATGAACAGCTATTTCTTCTCTGGGAGATCCATGAGATTTAAAACTGGTCATGGGAAATCAGTAGGTCGTATTATTTTGTGATAGGTTAATAACTTGGAGAAGTGCTTAATTCTGAGGTTGAATGTATAATCAAAACTGACCAAAACGCATTTGTTCTCTAAAACCTTGCTGCTAGTAGTGTGGTCTCAGACCAGCAGCATCAGTATCACCTGGGAGCTTGTTAGAAATGCAAACTTTCAGGGCTCATCCCAGACCTACTGAATCAATATCTACATTTTAACAAGATCCCAGGTGATTCATAAGCACTAAAATTTGAGAAGCAGTGTTAAAAAAAACAATAAAAATATTAAAAACACCCCACAGAAGAATATTGAGCAAAACAGGCAACCCTATTCAAATCCGAAAACCAAAAGCCTTTCATTGTCACTTACTGGTGTTATTCCACAGCTGATAAGTGGTAGAGCAAGAGTCTCTCTGTATATCACTGTTCTTAAGCATTTTAATCTAATGAATGACTGTAGTTTCTAACGAGAATAAGACAGAAAATTGTTTTAAAAAGACCCAGCATAGGGCTCTTGGAATGAGGTAGGAGGAAGGTACATATATTACCATGCTTTTTAAAATCTTATTCCTTGATAGAAACGAATTTGCTGGTAAAAATGTCTGATTTCCATGAAGATAAAATAAAACCATCCCTGTCCACTAATGCTGTAGAACTCAGTATAGTTCAGTTATTCAAATGAGAGTAAAAGGTAGCTTGAGGAACACTGGAAGAAGAAGCATGATGAGTTTTTCTATTGATTGATTTTTGTTCCGTTACTGCAGACTTGCTAAGGCTTATGGCACTATAAGGCTATGAAGCTATATTGGCGCGGTTAGCAAAATGTAAGTATGTGTACATTTGTACATCTCCCTGTGTGTATGGGCATGGGGAGGTGGAGAGAACGGTACTTAGAGATTTCTCTGTAAATATATTCATGAGCACATATCTTTAAGGTTTGCAGAAGTGGTTAACTAACTTTAGAACTAAAACCAATCAAGGCCTCCTCGTAGAAAAGGATTGAAAATGGTTTATTTAATAGGTAGAATTGCCATATAAGACATTAGGAGGGACAGACCAAGACGCCTGTACAGGCTTTACCTACCATCCCCCCAGCAGGAACACTGAATGTCATATCTATACCAAAAAAAGCACCTTCCTAAGGTTTTAGAGGTTTCAGAGGGGAGCCTACTACCATGAAGAGTGAGTCTCAGTCCTGGTGCATTCACCACAAGATAACTTAAGTCCTTAGACCTTAAATGAACATCAGCAGTCCCTGGCAGTTCTCCCTGGGAGCCTTCATGTCACTGAAATCAGCAGACATAGGTAAGAAAAACAGTCTTAAACTCTTAGCACCTCCCCTCCCCTGTTCCTCAGAAGGAGAGAGAATCTGTGCACTTGGGAGGGGGTGAGCACAGTAACTGTGAGACTTTGCATTGAACTCAGAGCTGCCCTCACAATACAAAGCAAAACCGGACTGAATTCAGCTGACACCTACCCACAGAAGGAGGATTTAAACCAGCCCTGACCAGAGGAGAACTGCCCATCCCAGCAGTTGGAATTCGAGTCTAGTAAGCCTCCCAACTGCAGACTAAACTGCCCTGGGCCCTAAACAGACATGAAAGGCAATCTAGGCTGCAAGGACTGCAACTCCTAGCCAAGTCCTAGCGATGAGCTAGGCTTGGAAGCAACACACTTGGAGGGCACATTAGGTAGTGAGACAACAGCTGGGGTGGCTAAGGGATTGCTTGTATCACCCTTCCCACAAACCCAAGCAGTACAGCTTATGGCTCCAAAAAGACATCCTTTCCTTCCACTTGAGGAGAGGAGAGGGGAAAGGGGAAAGAAGATTCTGTCTTACATCTTGGATACCAGCTTAACCACAGTAGGACAGGGCACGTGTCAGAGTTGTGAAGCCCCCTGTTGAGGGACATATAATTTACCCTGCTCCCATGATTCCCTTGTAGAAGATACTTTTAGTTTGTAATTAGTGGTAGGCAGGTAACAGCTGCCTACTTGGTATATTCTTGGGTTATGTGTATATGTAGAACACCTGTGTATTAATGAGAACCACCTGTCAAAGAGTAAATAAATACATGGATGAAAATCTGCTCGGGGCCTTCAGTCCTGGAGAGCTGTAAGCCCTACAGGCTCTCAGACTGTTGGTCCCCAGTTAGATCCACTCTGTTGCACTATCTGGGTGTCTGCCTCTCAATACCTTTAGCCCACCTGAGTGGGAGTCTCCCAACTGAGCTGGTTTTCAGTAGCCCTCATTCAGAAAGTAGCCCCCAGATAACATCGTTAGACACACCCTGAGCCAGAAGGGAACTCATTGCCTTGAAGGGAAAAACCTAGTCCTGGCAGAATTCATCACCTGCTGACTAAGAGACCTTGGGCCCTGAATAACCAGCAGTGATACACAGGTAGTATGCCATGGGACTTGGATGAGACTCTAAGATACGCTGGCTTCAGGTGAATCCCAGTACATTTCCAGTTGTAGTGACTATGGTGAAAGATTCCTTCTGCTTGAGAAAAACACAGGAGACTTTGCCTGGTATGTTCGATTCCAGCTTGGCCACAGAAGGGTAGAGCACCACGATGGTTCTAAGGGGTCCCTAGTTCTGGGTCTTGGCTCTTGGATGACATTTCTAGACCTGCTCTGGGTCGGAGGGGAGCCAACTACCATGAAGGGTGAGTCCCAGACCTGATGCATTCACCACAAGATGACTGAAAAGCCCTTGGGCCTTAGATGAACATCAGCAGTCCCTGGCAGTACTCCCTGGAGACTTGTAGTAATAGTGGCCATGGGGTGAGGCTCCTCTGCCAGTGGAAAGTCAGGGGAAGAGTGGGAAGGACTGTGTCTCATGGTTTGAGTGCCAGCTAAGCCACAGTAGAATGGAACAATAGATAGATTTCCAAGTGTTTTGTTTTGTTTTGTTTGTTTGTTTGTTTTTAGATGGAGATTTGCTCTTGTTGCCCAGACTGGAGTGCAATGATCTTGGCTCACTGCAACCTCTGCCTCCCAGGTTCAAGTGATTCTCTTGCCTCAGCCTCCTAAGTGACTGGGATTATAGCCTTGCACCACCACACCTGGCTAATCTTTGTATTTTTAGTGGAAAAAGGGGATTCACCATGTTGGCCAGGCTGGTCTCGAACTACTGACCTCAGGTGATCCCCATGCCTCGGCCTCCCAAATTGCTAGCATTACAGTCATAAGCCACCACACCTGGTCAATTTCCATGGTTTTTGACTATAGTCTCTGGCTTTCAGATGGCATCCCTAGACCAACCCAGGGACTGGGGGATCTTGCTGCCCTGAGGGAAGGACACAAGCCTGGCAGGATTCACTACATGCTTACTGTAGAGACCCAGGGCCTTGAGAAAACATAGATGGTAGCCAGGTGGTGGTTACAACAGGCCCTGGGGGAGACCCAGTGCTGTTCTGGCTTTGGGTCTGACCTAATGCAGTCCCAGTGGGTGGTGCCCACGGGGGTTCTTGTGTTATCTCAGCCCTAGCTCCAGGCATCTCAGCACAAAGAGAGACTCCATTTGTTTGGGAGAGAGTAAAGGAAGAGAACAAGTGTCTCTGCCATGTAATCCAGGGAATTCTTCTGGATCTTATCCAAAATCACCAAAGTGGTACCTCTACAGATCTGTAAGAACCACAGTTAGTACACTTGGGCTGCCTCCCAATACATATGTAGCTTAGATCACAACACTCAAGACTTTTTGAATACCTGGAAAGACATCCCAAGAAGGTACAAACAGTCCCAGACCGAGGAGACTATAATAAATATCTAACTCTTAAATACCCAGACACCAGCTACCATCCATAAGCATCAGGACAATTCAAGAAAACATGACTTCACCAAAAGACTAAATAAGGCACCAGGAAACAATCCAGGAGAAACCAATCCAGAGACATGTGATCTTGCAGACAGAGAATTCAAAATACTTGTTTTGAGGAAACTCAAAGAAATTCAAGATAACACGATGAAGGAATTCAGAATGCTATCAGATAAATTTAACAATAAGACTGAAATACTTAAAATGAATCAAGCAAAAATTCTAGAGTTGAAAAATGCAACTGACATATTGAAGAATGCATCGGAGTCACTTAACAGAATTGATCAAGCTGAAGAAATAGTGAGCTTAAAGGCAGACTATTTGAAAATACACAGTCAAGGCCAGGCACAGTGGTTCACGCCTATAATCCCAGCACCATGGGAGGCCGAGGTGTGTGGATCACAAGGTCAGGAGTTCGAGAACAGCCTAGTCAACATGGTGAAATCCCATCTCTATTAAAGATACAAAAAATTAGCCCATCGTGGTGGTGTGTGCCTGTA